CTGTTTGTCGCTGAGTAGCCGACCCCACGAATTCCCCAGTGTATGCCTCGTGGGCTAGGTCAACCAGGGCCGCCTTACATGACGGAGGTCAACTATTAAGCCACGCCTACCTCCGCTATATAAGACCTGACCTCGTGGTGACCTAACTTCTTCTAGCTACAGCCGCAACAAGCAACACCTCCTCTGAGCACCCTCACCAACCAGCTCTCCCTACTCACGCTTGTAACCACGCTGCCTCCTCCCAGCACCAGCCACCAAGCTGCATTGTACATCCAATATAATATGTATATAGAGAGCATGTTGTGGATTCCTCCCCTACAAGCACCGAACCTTCTCGAATTCCCAAGCCTACGCCTCCAGAGCCGCCCACGGAGCGGGGGTCAACTACCTACCCACGCCTGCCCCCGCCTTATAAGGCCTGACACCGCTGTGACCACCCTCTTTTCTACCCAGTGCCACCAGCAAGCAACACCACCTCCTTCGCGCCAGCCTGGCTGCTCCCACTCCTACAGGCGACCTAGGTGTCCCTCAAGCCGCATGCCCTCACTCTGGGCACCCTCACCACCCAGCTCTCTCTACTCAATGCTTATTACCATGCTACCTACCCAGCAACAAGCTGCATTGTACATCCAATACAATATGTATATAGTGAGCACATTGTGATTTTCCTTTCTCCATCCCATCCTGAGTGTGAACCAAAATCTCATAACCCTACAAATGGTGACCCCGGAGTGACCACTCACACAGGATGGAGGAGAAACTGATCACTCTCCCAGTCTTCAAGTAACATGGAAGACTGGCTTACCCACGCAGAGGCAGCTCTCATCGGCTCTACAACTACTGTCTCTACACAGCAAGTTAGACACCCTAGAGCAGCTCTGCTACTTTAACCAGACAGCCGCTCCTCTTCCTGCCCCAAGCACCACGTCCTACCGACCCCAACACACCCGTCCTGCCTCAGACGCCGCCCCCGGCCAAGCAGTACCCCCTGCCGCTCCTACTGACGCGGCCCCAGCTCCTGACGCAGACCCACACACCCCTCTTTTCTCCCTCAGGTACCCCCTGCTAACTGTCCTGCACCCTGCTGCTGTCGTGGACCCTGCTGCTGTCATGCACCCTGCTGCTGTCATGGACACACTTCCTGACGCAACCCCTGCTCCTGACCCAGGCCCACACACCCAAGCAGGCGCATCTGACGACTTTGTATCTGTCGCGAGGGAAGCACAACATTCATCGCCTCCACAACCCTCCTTCTCCCTCTTTTCTCCCACAGATCTCGTGTATCTAGACAGAGTTGCCCCCCCCCCCCCTAGCGGCCGGCTCATCCACGCCCTCGCCGTTATGTCCCACATGTGGCATGCACCGCCCGTTCTGCCTCACATGTGGCACGCAACTCTGCCAACCTCCAGCCTCCCGCCGCGCCCGGAGGGGAAGGGGAGTATTGTAGTGGATTCCTCCCCTACAAGCACCGAACCTTCTCGAATTCCCCAGCGTACGCCTCCAGCGCCGCCCACGGAGTGGGGGTCAACTATCTACCCACGCCTACCCCCGCCTTATAAGACCTGACACCACTGTGACCACCCTCTTTTCTACCCAGTGCCACCAGCAAGCAACACCACCTCCTCCGCTCCAGCCGGCGACCTAGGTGTCCCTCAAGCCGCGTGCCCTCACTCTGGGCACCTTCACCACCCAGCTCTCTCTACTCAATGCTTATTACCATGCTACCTACCCAGCACCAAGCTGCATTGTACATCCAATACAATATGTATACAGTGAGCACAATGTGAGTTTCCTTTCTACACCCCATCCTGAGTGTGAACCAAATAACCCGTACCCCACAAATGGTGACCCCCGGAGTGACCACTCACACAGGGTGGAGGAGAAACCGATCACTCTCCCAGTCTTCAAGCAACATGGAAGACTGGCTTATCCACACAGCGGCAGCTCTCATCGGCTCTACAGCTACTGTCTCTACACGGCAAGTTAGACATCCTAGAGCAGCAATGCTTCTCTAAGCAGACACCAGCTCCTCTTCCTGCCCCAAGCACCACGTCCTACCGCCCCCAGCACACCCGTCCTGCCTCAGACGCCGCCCCCAGCCCAGCAGTACCCCCTGCCACTGTCCTGGACCCTCCTCCTGACGCGGACCCTCCTCCGCTCCTGCCTGGCAGCCCCTGCTCCCGACGCGGCCCATACGCCTGAGTGCGGCCCCACACACCCTTTTTTTTTCTCCCTCAGGTACTCCCTGCTACTGTCCTGCACCCTGCTGCTGTCGTGGACCCTGCTGCTGTCATGCACCCTGCTGCTATCATAGACCCTCATCCTGACGCAGCCCCTGCTCCCGATCCAGACCCACACACCCCAGCAGGCGCATCTGAGGACTCTGTACATGCCGCGAGGGAAGCACAACATTCATCGCCTCCACAACCCTCCTTCTCCCTTTCTCCTCCCACAGATCTCGTGTATCTAGACAAGGTTGTCTCCACTAGTGGCCGGCTTATACACGCCCTCGCCGCCATGTCTAACATGTGGCATGCATTGCCCGTTCTGTCTCACATGTGCCATGCAACCCTGCAGACAACAAGTCTCCTACACCACCTGGAGGGAAGGGGGAGTATTGTAGTGGATTCCTCCCCTACAAATGCTGTTTGTCGCTGAGTAGCCGACCCCACGAATTCCCCAGTGTATGCCTCGTGGTCTAGGTCAACCAGCGCCGCCTTACATGACGGAGGTCAACTATTAAGCCACGCCTACCTCCGCTATATAAGACCTGACCTCGTGGTGACCTCCCTTCTTCTAGCTACAGCAGCAGCAAGCAACACCTCCTCTGAGCACCCTCACCAACCAGCTCTCCCTACTCACGCTTGTAACCACGCTGCCTCCTCTCAGCACCAGCCACCAAGCTGCATTGTACATCCAATATAATATTTATACAGAGAGCACTTTGCGAGTTTCCTTTCTCCATCCCATCCTGAGTGTGAACCAAATAACCCGTACCCCACAACGCCATGTCTCTCACCAAAAGAGGTCAGTGAACTCCATCGTGCTCCATTCAGCCCTAAAAAGACTTATCGAGCAGTTTTTTACACCTTAAAACCTTGCCTGATGTTATAAAGTGAAGTAATAGTTGCAATAATGCGTGGTGATAAAAGTCCATCAGGCCTTACCCTCAGTGACGCCATTTCTCTCACCAAAACAGGTACGCACACATCCAGAGCGTCGGCCAAGCCACCACCAACCACCACTGTGAGGGACTCATCGGGTGTGATGTGTCTGCTTATGGCCATTATGCACCTCCACTGTGAATCTGTGGATACCCCTACATATCACCACCTAGGATAGGAGAACATAATTGTGTGTTTGAGAACTTTCGCAATCGCCAAGTGGAGAGACCTAAGACCTAAGAATACCAGGAGTGGAACCAGTACTGGGAAGTATCCCATCTACTCAGCAAGAGTAGAGTGTGAACGAGGTACCTGGGGTATGTGTACCTAAGAATACCAAGATGTTCCATATATGTAGGTGTGGAGTGTACCTGGGATGTGGTGCCAAAATATAACATGTGGTGCTATAATCTAACATGTGGTGCAGTCTGATGTGTTGGGTGTTATGGTAAGAAATGACCGAGGTAAGGTCATTGGTTGTTATGAAGAATGGAGATGGTAATAGTAATTATTTGATGAAAGACGTTCAGTATATTGATGTGAAGTGTATTGAACATAATAGTGGTTCTTCTGATGAAGGCCAACTCTTTTTGTACTGTGATGGGATGCAATATGTTTTATAAGGAATTAATTAGTTAAGTCATAATTGATGTTTCACCCTTCTTCCCACTCTCGAATTGGTCAATGAAAAACCCAACCCAATGTCTAGCTTGCTCTGCCTGCTACCTAACGAGCTACATACTGTCCAGGGGGGTCTGGTAGCAGCGACCTTAAAATTAAGAGTAGAGTTAAGTTATCCCCTTAGAATTAGTGACCCCAGAATCGGGCAGTATACCACCGCTACACAGCAGTTCCCACTAAGGGAATAAAATGTGCAAAGGAAATATGTAGTGAAAGGGCAACCTGGAAACTCTTGTTTTGACCACTACCAATAAGGGAATAATTTTGGTGGAGTGAGGAGCCATGCATGAAAATAAAAAGACATGTGGCACTGGGGAACCCATTAGATAACAGCTGAAGTGTTACTTGGTCTTATCGTATCAGAAATTGTCAAAATCACAGAACATCCAGTAGTTTCCATATTCAAGATATGTTAGGTGTTTTCTTGAAGGGAAGGAGAAACACCGTGTAGCAGCCAAGAACTTTAATGTAGAGATCCGAGCTACAAGCCTGACAGGTGGCAACTGGCCCCGCAGAGTCGCAGACTCTCCGCTACCAGGAGTTGCCAGGTAGTGCCAACATAACAATAATGTCTACATCTTACAACTCCCCTCCAAGATTGGATGAGGGCAATAAATAATAAAGGCACTTAGACAATCTGACTAGAAACAAACGAAAATGACATAAACAATAAGAAATGCCTAAACCTATAACTTAATAACAAAAAGAAAAAGTATGAAAGGAAATGCCATGACAGCGCACACCACAGCGGCATACACAAACAGGAAACATCATACCAAACAAAGTCCGAAAGCCATTGAGGCTTTGTTATATGTCTCCGGGGATGGGTTGGCTTGTGCTGCTGTAAAGTTGGTGGTGCAGGTGACTGTGGTGAACCCACAGAACCTAACGGGGTGGGCGTTGGGAGAGGCTGGACCGGCAAGGGCAGGTGTTTCGTGGGCGAGTGAGGGCGGGCCATGTCCCTCAGGTGTCCACGTATCCTGAGCGAAATGCAGCAGCTACCATCTAGCCGCAAGACGCATTGACGGTTCTGGAGGGCCTCTATGACAGGCTTTAGTGACCAGATTCTGGACCCGGATACGGCTGCCAGGCACCAAGGGGCAGCGATGGCGGATGACACCCCACGCTGTCAAAGGACCTCCTCATGGTCTTGAGTCATCTGGAGTTCTCGTCTGCAGAGTGACTGTCTTCAATGTCTGTTAATTTTGAAATTCTGTTTGGTTGTGGGACACCATCATGGAGCTGTCGACCTGTTGCCAGATGGGCCGGAGACTTGTCCGCACCACGCAGGGGAGTGTTGAGATACTGGAGAAGGGCGAGAGATACCTTGTCTTCATCGAGGCTCCCATTAGCTCCGGTGTTGTTAAGGAGCACCCTCTTCGCAGTCTTCACCGCGGCTTCTGCCCTGCCATTGGACTGGGGGTATTGCGCGGAAGACAGACGGACAGCGACGCTCCACTTCCAGAAGAATTCCACCATTTCCTCGCTAACCAGGTTAGTGCCACCGTCCGTGGATATCTGCTCAGGTGCACCCCACCCGGTGAAGTAGCGTCTAAGCTGAGCCATAATCTTGCCGGAGGAGGTGCCACTGGGGAAGTGAGCGATCTCAAGCCACCCAGTCAGCCTGTCGGCGTAGGCCAGGTAATGTGTCCCTCCAGCTGGATCATGTTCACCACCATTTACTGAAAGGGGTATTGAGGGGGTGGCGTCAGGAGTAGTGGCTCAGGTGGCTGGGAAGGTGTGTGGGTGTCACAGGAGGACTGATGATATTGCAGATCACCCTCCAGTCCTGGCCAGTAGACAGTTTGCCTGGCCCTTCTGAGCATAGAGTCAAGGCCCTGGTGGCCAGCATGCAGGTTGGCGGCCACCTGGTGACGGAGGCCCTCAGAGATGACCAGACATACACAACCCTGGTTGAAGGTGTAAGTCACCTGGCCACAAGATGTGGACAGCCTGTCCCTGACATTGTAGAATGGCTTTAGGCAGGCAATCTCCTGCGACCCGCAGGAGTGCCAGTTGTCAGCCAACACCTTCACCACTAACAGCTGGTAGACGGGATCCTCGAGTGACGCTTGGAGGACCATCTCCTTGTCTAGGGTGGCACAGTCGCTGAAGTCCAGGGCCGCCACAGTGGCTGCAACCATGGCCACTACCAGGTCCTCATCTTGGTCGTCATCCATGTCCTCAGGGGTCGACTTAATGGCGGGATGCCGGGACAAAAAATCGGCGGCACAGTTTTTCTTCCCAGGTAAGTAACGAACTGTATCTGTACTGCAGTGTTTTCTCTTTCAGACGGAAGAGATGTGGATTAACAATGTCCACGAGGGCCCTGTCACCCAAGAGCTTCACCAGGGGACGATGGTCTTTTACTAAGACTAGGATGGGGCACCCTAGTAGGAACAAATGGGCCTTTCGGAGACACCAAGTCACGGCCAAAGCTTCCCCTTCCAAGACCGCGTATCCCATCTAGCCAGCCATTAGATGGCGGCTGCCACACAGCAAGAGGCGCCATCCACCCTTGCAGTAGAAGGTGCATTCACAGAGGAGCATGCGCAGTACTGCTGGAGAATGACAAATCCAATGCCATCCCTGCTCTAGTCCGTGATGGCGGTGGGCCTGGTCCTGTTGTAGTAAGCTAACCCATCCTTGGCAAGCTGGCAGATCACACCCTTGGCCTGGATGAACTTTTGTTGCAACTGGTCATCCCAGTAAACCTTCCCGGAGGGCTTCTTGAGTAAGTCCCTGAAAGGTTCCATGATGGGAGCCATGGCCAGGAATGGTGCCGACTGGTTGACATATCCATGCCACGACCGCAAGTCGGTAATTGAAGGCTATGTTGGCATTTGAAAATTCCTGATGGCAGAGAGACGATCATTTGTGGGTATGTAGGTGTCCCAACCTAGGTGGAAACCCACAAACTCCACCTCCTTCCGGCCGAACTGGAACTTCTCCGGCTTGAGGGTCACGCCCATTTTTGCACATAACTCCCAAGAAGTCGTAAGTGTGCCAAAAGGCCTCCTCCACGCTGGCATCACAAAGGAGTGTGTCGTCGACACACTTGGCTTGCGTGGCAGGCCTTGGATGGCATCGTCAAACCGCTTAGTGTAGGTGTCGGATGCTGAGCAATGACCCATGGGCTTACGGCAGTCCTGATAACAGCCCCAGGGTGTTATGAAGGTGGTGAGGCGCCTGCTATCTTTGTCAAGCTAGAACTGGTGGAAACCCCAGTGGGCATCTGCCACTGTTTTGTACGAATAAAGAGACACATCTGATACCATATCGAAGGGTGCCGGGGTGTGGTGGGTCTCCAGGAGGCAGTGCGTGTCGAGTTTTTGATAATCAACAGTTCTGCGAGGTCTGCTTGACTTCTTGGAAACCACCACCATCCGAGCGCACCATTCCGTGGCTTCCCCTGCTGGGATTGGGCGGATCACCCCCCCTCTTGACGTCGTTGTTGAGCTGTTATTTGACTTCAGTCTCCCAGTGCTTGGGGACCGAAGCGGGGGTGTGGCAGGCATGGGGTTTGGCACCAGGTATCAGGTGGATGTAATGAGGGGCACCTGCCATCACAGGGAGGGGATACCTATCCGTGTTGAAGTGGTAGACGAGAAGTGGCGGATGAACCATTCCTCCAGCCTTGAGGCGTTTTCTTCTAGTGGGTGGGGCAGCATGACAGGTGGCCTGGGCGGGAGGCTAGTGTCACCCCTATCCGCCGTCCCCGTAGCAGAAATGGAGGGAGGTGGGAGTGGAAAGTCCACATGCACCAAGCTGAGGTCCTTACAGGCGGTGAGTGATAGGTACGGAGCTCGACAGACTTGACGAAGTGCACGTCCTGGAGAGTAGATCAGTCCGGGAGGCTGATGCAGCAGGGTGCGGAAAACAGGGTGGCCAGCGGGAAGTTGGCCAGGTCACGTAAGCCAGACCGACACTGTAACAGCGTAGGCCGGAGACCCAATGATGACACGACCTCATCTGCAAATTTGGTAAGAAGCTTCTACACCATCCCCGACACCGGCTCCTACTACCACCTGAGATCCCTAGTCCGAGAATTGCTGTTCGATACCACAACCGCATCCAGCCCATACGTGCACGAACTGATCGCTATAAGAACAGCCCAGTCCCAACCATTGTAAAAATTATCAATAACTTGTAATAAATCAGTGTATTCACTCCCAGTAAACACTACTCCTTGCACTGTCACTATGTTGAAATGAACTGTAGTTTGAGCTTTTCCCCATCTAGTTATTATATGTCTTATTTGTGTCACTCATGTTACTTGTATATTATTTGTAATTCGTAACCCATTCCCCAAATATGTAACTGTATATTTTCAGCCTTCTGGCTGCCAAGCTCTTTCAATAAACCGTTAATTATTATTATTATTATTACATTAGGGTGGGACTGGTCACACACACACCTGGGTGCCAGTGTGTGTGATGGCCATAGCTGGGTGGAGAATATCACTAGCGAGGCGGGCAACATCAACGCTTAGCAATGACTGTTGAGACAGGTGGGCATCAGCCACCACCACACCAGTAACTGCGTCTGTAGCTATCTGGCCACCGTACTGCTTCTTGGCACTCCTGCAGTTTCTTCAGGTGGCCCAGTTTCCCACAGCCATGACAGATGACCGCCTTGGCCGGGCAGGATGTCTGTCAAAGGCATGGTGGCCCCCACAGTTACCACAGTGTCAGGGGAAAGTTTGGCCGGGAGAACAGCTGAACGGGTGGCGGCTACCACTATGGTGTCCTTGGGTGTGAAGACATCCTCAGTAGCCTCAGCCGCTGCCACTGATGGGTCGCGCCCAAAGCGGCGTCACGTTGTGCAGCCTCGAATGTGGTGTAATAGGCACGGAAGCTGTTAACATTACTGAAAATATTACAGTTCTGAAACACTTCCCGTCTTAAGGCTGAGTCACATAGCCCAGCAGTCAACTTACGCAATAGCACGTACAGTAGTCTGAAATATCACTCACACTCGGGGCACTGAAATCCACAGTCCATGGCTTGCTGGGAGCATCACAAGAAATACGCACTGATGGGCTCGTTAGGAGCATGAACATCACTAAAGAAATCAGACCAACGCACTGCCTGATTTGAAGCACGAAGGACAAACTTGCTGTTGGCATCCAAAGCCTCCACAGGGGCCATGGCCCCCCACTGGAGAGCAGGGACACACAGGAGGCGGATATGTAGTACGGCGTCAGCCTCTGGCCACTTGTTGAGCTGCAACCAGCACTCAGTTGAGCACCTCCAGGACCGAAAGGCCGCTGAGGACATCTCCAGGCCACATTTCTCAGGCACAGCGGCCATAGAGACTCGTGGCTGAGATGACATCGACAACAAACTTGCCTGCAGCGAGACGATGGCTTGCTGTTGTGACATCAGCACTGACTGGGCTTGAGCCAGAATCGCGGGTGTCGCTGAAAGGTGGCCACCGCGGGTCCTGGAGGCCGTTGAGAACTCCAGATGGCATGAGAGCGGCATTTGAGGTTCAGGTTCACAGCTAAACTCACTGCGCCATGATAGGTGTTTTCTCGAAGGGAAGGAGAAACACCGTGTAGTAGCCGAGAACTTTAATGTAGAGATGCTTACTCCAAGCCTGACAGGCAGCAACTGGCCCTGCAGACTCTCTTCTACCAGGGGTTGCCAGGTAGTATGAACATAACAATAATGTCTACATCTTTCAGGATATATTTGGATAAATATGTTTATGCTCAATTTGCATAAAATTTCTAGCCTTCCTTTTGCTTTTGTATTGTTTATAAATAACTGAAGTGACTTTCAACTACACTAACAAATAGCACTCCACTGTTCACTAGTACATTGAATGACTCTCAGCTTGGCTGTTCGTGGTCAAGTGGTTATAAGGAGTAATAATTTCTTAAATCTTAAGGAATAATAAGAATTAATGCAATACTTATTAAAAACTTGGTGAAATTGGTATTTTTCATACAAATTAATTGAGATTTCATCTGGAAATAAAATGCTCTAAAAAGTGGCACAATAATGACCACCCTTCTACACCATGCTCAATCCATGTTAGAGACTGGATGAGTACTGGGTAGACAAAAATGATCCTAATGCATCTCTAACCCTTGCTTCACAGGGTAAAATTTTTTTGTTCCAAACCATCAACAGGGGGAAAATCAATGTTGGAAATGTTTACTGTCCAGAAATTAAAGTGGTTACAAAATTACCCTAAATTGAAACAGAAATTATTTCTCGAAATATTTTACAAATGCTGTTACCAACACAGTATAATATACCTATTGCCTTTTATTACCATGGTATACCCCTGGTAATCAAAGGCAATAATCGGTCCAATTTGAGGATACAAAAACAAACGGACTGATAGCTTGCATAGCAAGATTTTTTTATTTTGCTTTACAAAAATATTGGTATATCATGTACAGTACACAATGTATTCATTAATACTACATGTTAGTTAATGAATAAAAAGCAAGTAGGAGATTTATTAAAAACAAATCTTTGACAGTCTTTGTTAATTCCATTACAGTGATCCCTCGGTTAACGAGCGCCTCGGTTAACGAATTACCTTCCATAAGATTCTTCACTTCGGTTAACGAGCAATCCCTCGATTAACGAATTCCTTACGAGCGCCCCTCAACATGTTTTCGCTTGCTCACTAGCTGTCGTATTAGTCTGCCAATACAGTAATCGGTTCTAGGGCCTAAATTCCTTACCATTTTAGTAAATATCAAGAAGGTTGTACTATTCTATCATTTTAAAAGTTTATATTAAATTTTTTAGTCATTTTAACAATTATTGAACATAATTGAAGTACAGGAAACAAGTTTTATGCGTGCCAAACAGCCACTCAACACAACAAGCTTGCCGTCAGTTTGTTTACAGGTTCAGAGAAAGGAACATCTTGTTTGAGACTCTTCAACTTAAATGCTTTTTTTTCTGTGTTTCCAGTCAAATTATTGGTCATTTTGAAATATATTTTACATATTGATAATATATAGCACAGTGCAGTGTTGATTTAAAGAAAATAATCTTGAATTACACCAAGTGAACTAAAATTTTATGGGTGAAATAGCAGCATGGGGTGACTTCTTTTCCACCCCAATGCCTTCTCTTCTCCCTTCTCCTCCACCCCCATTCTAATTCCCATCATCATCATCATCATAAACCAGGAGCCTTCTAGATGCACA